TTTTTTGGAACTGTATCCATTTTGCAGCATTATTGTACGCTCTTGCCTGTGTCATCATTTGTAGTAGTCTCAGACTCCCTTAGTGCTCTAAGGTATACAAAAAATTTGTCATCTCACCCCCTAGTTTCCCGTACCAAATTTGGGGCTACCCCGTATCTCTCCCAAACATAAAGATATTGTTTTTTGTTGGGTCCCTGGTCATGTCGACGTACAGGGCAATGAAAGGCAGACACTGCTGCGCGGTCAGCAGTATATGACCTACCAATTTCCTATCGAGGTGTTCCATTTCTGGACTATTTTGCTGCAATAGCTACCCCCTTCGCACCCGTTGGCAACAACGTTGGTCAACTCTGCTCGGTAACAAACTTCATTCTATTAAACGAGCATAGGTTACTGGCCGTCTTCTTGTCATCAGTGCGAGGTTGGGAGACCACTCTCTCCCGCCTTCGCATTGGCCACACTCGTCTTACTCAGGGGTTATCTCATGGAGAGGCCCCCTGTTCCTCTCTGTGGCAGTGTCAAGTTCCAGTATCGATTAGCCACATTCTGTTAGACTGCCTCTCTATCAACGAGCACGCAGAATTTACCTCCAACGCGTCTTCGTTCTCCTACTCTCTCTTTACCTTCCTTCTTGCTGATGGACCCTCCTTTAATCCTGACTCTCTCATTGACTTCTTGACAAGGGACTGATTTACTCCACAAACTCTGATGATACTTTTCGCACTCCCCTCAGCCCTTTCTGGTTCAGTCTCTTTGCTGTCCTTTACCCTTTCACCACCCACTGCCCGCTGTTACCCGTAACCTGTTGCTCATCCATCTCCCTTTTGCCACCTGATGCCCTCGCTTCCTTCCTGCCCTGCAGCGCTGTATAGTCCTTGTGGCTTAGCGCTTCTTTTTGATTATAATAATAATAATAATTTTGTGTTGAGAATGTTCTTTAACGTCGTTGTCATGTTTGTTGTACTAATACATTAAACTGTGTAGAATTAGTTTTAATATATTTGTTTCAGTTTAAAAATATTGTATTAGTCACATGAACATAGATGGTGTTTTACTTGTCCATGTGGAGATATGACACAAACATCGAGAGAACCATTTTCTTTTCATTTGTTTCTTCAGCTCAGTAAGAAAATATTTAGGAGCACAGTTTTTTTCATTGTAAAATTCCCTCAGAGGAGGTTCCTTGATGCTGGTGAGGGTCTCTTGATCTAGGGAATTTGATGTGTGCTCCAGTTTCCTGAATTTAAGCCCGAATGCCTTCTGTCCCCCACCATAGGTGCTGTATAATCCTTACGGGTTTAGCGCTCCTCTTAATAATAATAATAATAATGTAAAATGTTATGGAAATGGAAATAAGATTGGCTTATTCATTGATTCAGTTACACATAATTTACTATGCAAAAAGCAATTAGTAATTTACTATGTAAAAAAAATTAGTATTTATTTTTGTGTCGTGAGGAGAGTTTATTTGGATTACTAACCTGGAAGGTTAGCAACCAAGGATAAAGCCACTGTCAGCAGACTGTCTTATTTCTCTAACTGCATAATTCATTAAATTTAAACAAAAACATTTTATGATGGCTTAATCTGTTTCAACAGTTCCTCAAAAGGATCTATTTTCATCTGGATCCTTATTTTTGTACATTTTACTCAGCTGCATGTATAACATTCTTAACATCCACAGGCAACATCGGTAATAAGACGCAGTGAGCAGGCTATGGTATAGTATTTTACTAATTAATAAACTTCATGTACCAGGGGCTTTATCAGTTCATTTCTTTTAGCATTGCAGCTATCTCCCACCGATGTAGGGTGACCCAAAAAAATAGGAAACACGTTCACCATTATTCATTCAGTAACTGTTTTGCCAGAAGTGTGTAGACATCACTGTTCAGATGACCCCTCACACTACAGCATGGGTATACATAATGGAGTGGTTGAGGAGAGATCCTGGTGGGATTTCAGTGTAATCTGACTACAGGTGGTGGCACTTTTATAGGTGTAATGAAATTTTAGTTGATTTACCTTAATTTCAACTTTTCATATTTCTAGTTTTGTAGAGCTTTAAAATTTAAATATTCCCTTGCACCAGTGTCCAGTAATCCTTATCATCTGATTTTGAGTAACTTGTAATTTTTTTGAGTTTGTCAGAGCAGGTGGCATTCTATAAAAACCTGACATAGGGCCTAGCATGCCTGATTATGTAAGCATTATGCCCACCTATTGAGGAATTTTTACCTAGCATTCACATTTGTATTTGATTATTTATGACTGACTCTCCTTATAGGCTATAGAGGTCACTGAGGTTACCAGCATAATCGATACAGTACCTCATTACACATTATTGTGAAATTGATTACTCTGTTCAGGTTTTTATTAAAAATACATGTAATGTTGAGTCAAGTTTTTGCCCACATGATTCCAGTTCCAGTGATAAGATATTAGCTATGACATCAGCATACAGTTCATTGGCATGTAACACCAATGGGTATATCATTTACATAGCACAAAAATAGTAATGGACACAATATACTTGTGTGACTCTATATGTTAACAAAAATTCAAATTCAGTGTTGTATTGTTTGTTATATAAAAACAGTTTGAAATAACATAGCATATCCCTTCCTAGTTAACCACATGAATATTAACTATTTAATATTCTTTTATCAGTCTTATTTTGGGGTTATTTTATGTTAGGGTTTGTTTAAAATTTATACCCTTACCTTTTTTTTTATTCGCAGGATGTTAGGAGCCACGTCCAAACTCAGGTCTGTAGCTACAGTATTTTAATTTTAATGAGAAATGGATATACTCTATATGTACTGTACTACAGTATATTAAAATATCAATATAAAATTTGCAAGATTTCACTTAATTTGCCCTTTCTGGAAAATTACAATTGACCCTTGCTTAATGACTTGATAAGGACCAGACAAAACATTCAGTAAGCAGTAATTTGAGATGTGGATGAGATAATAATAATCTTTATGTAATGCCTATTATTTTTTTTAGGTAATAAAATTCTTTATTATGCACTATATTCATCAGAGATTCATTTCCAACCTCCCTCCCTCTATCCCATACCCCTTTTTTTTTCCTCTTCCATTCCCTCCATTTTTCCCATTTCCGTTGTTTCCGGTTATCGTCTGATTACAAATTCTATCCCTTAATCCCAGAATACATTATACAGTGGACCCTTGTTTTTCATAATTAATCTGTTCCAGAGAGTGTGACTAATGGCGAAATTGATGATTTCCGCAACCATTTTTCCCCATAAGAAATAATATAAATCCAATTAATCCGTTTCAGACCAAAAGTATTAACAAAAAAATAATTTTTTTTTACATGAAATGTAGATTTACGTACACAGAAAACAATGAGACAAAGAATAAAACAATAATAACATCACACTTATTGTTATTGAAGACTCTTGTCAGTTTATGAATAAAATATGCCATTACTTATGTTAGGAACTGTGGCAGTGGCAGGGAAGTGTATTTGGAGGCAGGGCAAGATAGTCCTTCAATATGACACTAATATCAACTCAATGGCTTATTTATCTATCACAATTCATCTAGTATGGCATAATAAACAATATTAATAACATAGAAACATGACATATATTCTAGAATGAATAAAAAATGTCCGTTACGTATGTCAAGGTTGGTGTTTTGTTTTGTTGTTGGGTGTATAAGGGCCACTGAAAGATAAGCTTTACATAGTGGTGGTGATGGGGGCAGCAGAGACGGCAGTGTTGTCAGTCACCCTATATAACTCCAACAACATTGGAGGAGTCAGTTTTGTGCTGTCCTTTTTCTATCGATCAATTGCTGAACTTGCTTGCTACACTGTTAATACTACACTTTATCACTGGCTGGCACACTAGCCTTTATCAGCCTGTGCTGTTTTAGTATCGTATGTATCGTAGAATCACTGAAGAAGGTACATTCTCTTCTCTCTTTTCCTCCTCCACTTTGGCACTTTGCTGCGAGTTCTTTCTTGAATTCTGTCGTGTTTCTCACCTTTTTTGCCAAAGGCCTGGCACTAGGAGCTTTCTTTGGGCCATGGTGGCTTATTTAACAGTTGCAAGCGCTAAAACGAATGGAATACTATTACGAAATGTATCGTATGAATGCGTGGGATCGTCCCCACTCGCTGATAAACAGTGGCACACTGGCTGTGAATGGAATGTGGAGCCGCTCTGGGCCGTGCGTACGCATCTGGGACGAATGACTATTTGCGAGTCAAACAACGATTTGCGAGTCAGTATTTTGACAAAAAAAGTTACAATTTTTGAAAATCACAACTTCCAATGCTTACGAAAAACGAGGGTCCACTGTATCTGGATCTGTTAAATCAGCAATATACAGATTCGTATAAGATATGAAACTTCACAGTGATATGTTCTATAGCATCGTAAGGTGTATACTACACTCCTCTTTCTTTGATGATGGTCTTTCCCTGGCATGAGGTTGTTTGAGAACAAAACTGGTCAAGTGGTGAAATTCAGAGGTGTTTTCGGTCATTATTCGAAATTGTGTTCTGTGAATATTCGCTAAGTAGGGGGACCAACCAAACATATAAATAATTTTATAATTTTTTTAAAAAACAAAATAGAATAATATTTCATGCAAAAACAGTGATTATGTGTGAGTGAGGTGAAAGTGTTGAATGATGATGAAAGTATTTTCTTTTTGGGGATTTTCTTTCTTTTTGGGTCACCCTGCCTCGGTGGGAGACGGCCGACTTGTTAAAAAAAAAAAAAAAAAAAAAAAATATATATATATTATATATATATATATATATATATATATATATATATATATATATATATATGAGGTTGTATGCTGTATTATATTTTATTATAGCAGTAGCTAGTGAGTACACATTTTTAAATCATAGAAGTGATTAACCTGTTTCTACCCATAACTGGAGGCATTTATTGTGAATCTTTATTAACTACACTATATTATTTTTATTATTTCTTAGAATTATATATAAGTGACAGTCATATGTTTATAAATTTTCAGTATATCAAGAAGTATGGATGAGTGGGAGCAGTATTTTGCTGAGAACCCAGCACCTCGTGGATACGACATCAGTTGTGCTCAGCTAGAAGCCTTCTGTCAGGTGCATGTAAACAGGAACCCAATTGCACTTGTAACATCTGGAGGAACAACTGTCCCTTTGAGAGGAACACAGTCAGGTAGAGGAAATAACATAGACATGCTGTCCTGTGTATTACAATTAGTGATACAAGGATAACGAGATATTAAAGTATATGTACCAGTATTCATTGGGCATGAATCACATTTTTGATATTTAAAATGTAGACAATATCTTAATGTGTTCTTTACTGTAATTGAAAAGCTAAACAATTTAATATTTTTCAATGTCTTTGGATGATTTCTAAATGGCCAGTATTTAATCTGAATTTATTATATTTAATACAGTGGTACCTTGACTTACGAGTTCAATTCGTTCCATGACCAAGCTCTTAACTCAAATTGCTTGTATATCAAATCAGTTTTCCTCAGTGAAATTAACTGAAATGCAATTAATCCACTCCATCCCCCAAAAAACCACCCCAGGGGCAGGAGAAAATACATCTTAGGGGCCATGGTGAAATTTACGGTCCAGTTAGTACAGTTAATACAGTATGATGCTGCTGATAGGGCAGGGTTACTCAAACTGATGCCGCCTGCATGACGCATTGCCGCCATGAGTATTGTCAAATATTGTACAGTGGTGTGCATCAGCTGGCCCAGCCCAGCTGCCAGATGCACGGTCGTAAGTCGAGGACTTATGTCGAGCAGGTCGTAAGTCGGATGGTAGGTGCACTTCAAAATAACGCTAATATCAATTCTATGGCTTATTTATCTATCAAAATTTATCTAATACGACATAATAAACAATGTAAATAATATAGAAACATGATATGTATTCTAGAATGAATAAAATAGGTCATAATATGGCGAGTGTCCAGGACCAGTCCGAGCATATAAAATCATTACTGCTCCTTCCTATAACGTGTTCTTTGGTCCTGGGTAAGAGAAAACAGAGTTTTTGAGAGGCTAACTGCACTAGATCACTAGTGCAGTGATATATGAATATCTCTGACATAAGTTATTGACTTATTTCATGAAGCCCACCATTTATTATTGAAGCAAATGCAATAATATTGATAGGAATCTTAAAAAAAATGATTGTTCTGCAATTGGCTTGTGGAATATTGGAAATATTCCAGATATTTTGGGATTTGTGTGGGAGTAAAGGTCAAGATATTTTGCAAATTTCAAAAACTTAGCAACTTTATTTTTTTGTAGAATAACTAAACATAATTACATGATTACCTCCAGTGAGAACATCGCACTAGCATTGTTTTATAAGTACCAAGTCCCAAAACCACCTTTTGTTGTGCCATTTAGACTGGGGTTCTTGCCAAATATAATTTCCAGTAAATGTTTTGTTTTCAGTAAATACAGTGGAACCTTGGTTTTCATAGGATTCGGTTTTCGACGACTTTCGTCAAAATTTTCTCCCAGTTTTCGTACATCCACTCGGTTTTCGTAGAGTTGAAAATGGTCTGTACCAAACGCATCCACGTGACTCTGCCACTCAAGCGCTTACACAAAGCATCCCATGCGTTCGTGACTCAGTCTTCCTTTGATTCTCATTGAGTGAGCATCACCCACGCGTACATTTGAAACATTTCATAATAATCCATTGTTTTTTGTGCTTGTTTATTGAGTGTGACTGCTAAATAAGCCACCATGAGGCCAAAGAAAGTCCTGAGTGCCAGCCCTTTAATAAAGAAGGCAAGAAACACGATAGAATTCAAGAAAGAACTCGTAGCAAAGTATGAAAGTGGATGTGAAAGAGTTGGTGGACTACCACAGGGAAGAGCTAACCACTGAAGAGCTGCAAGACCTTCAGCTGGAACAGCAACAGACCACAGCTGAGGAAATTGCTTCAGTGGAGGAGGAAGAGAGAGGGGAGAATGTGCCTTCTTCAGTGATTAAGGACATGTGTGCAAAGTGGAATGAATTGCAAAGTTTTGTAGAGAAATATCACCCTAACAAAGCTGTTGCAAGCTGTGTCTGCAACATGTTCAGTGAAAATGCCATGTCCCATTTTAGGCAAATCTTAAAGAGATGCCAAAAACAGACCTCTCTGGGCAGATTTTTTTTGTGCGATGGGTACAGTGACTCTCAAGCTGGTCCTAGTGAAAGTAAAAGACAAAGAAGGGAAGTAACCCCGGATAGGGCCTTGATATCTGAAGTCCTTATGGAAGGGGATTCCCCTTCCAAATGGTAACCTCTCCTCTCTCTCCCCTCCTCGCCATCTTCCATACACCAACAAGAGTCTTCAATAAAGGTAAAAGTGATGTTAAATGTTCATTTATCCATTTCATTAGTCATTTATATTTATTTCTCATTGTTTTCTGTATGTAAAACTATAGTTATTCTCTATAAAATGTATTTTTTGTTAATATTTTTGCATGTCTGGAATGGATTAATTGGATTTATATTATTTCTTATGGGAAATATTGCTTCAGTTTTCATACAATTCGGTTTTTGTCAGACTTTTTAGAATGGATTAATCACAAAAACTGAGGCTCCACTGTATTTTTTTTTCACTCTTAACTCAGATTTTGGCTCGCATCTCAAAGCAGAAAATCGACCGAGTGATGGCTTGTAACTCGGAAAACTCATAAGTTGGGACACTCGTAAGTCAAGGTACCACTGTACATGTTAAGGCATTTCAACCTAAAAATTATTTTAAATATAATTTATTGTATGCTCCTATATTTAGAGCCCTGCTAAAGGAAAATATAGTGTAATTTTTTTATACGAGTTCATATTGTTTTGCATGTAAATTCTGTCTTAATGGTTCTTGCTGGCTATTTGCCATCAGTGTCCAGATTATTTTTCCTTAGCTAACGGTCTTTAACCATTTTCTTGATTAAGACTTACTTATTTTACACAAGGATGAATATGAAGAAATATTAAAATGTACATGTAATTAACAAATATATAAATATGGAATTTTTTGAGAAAAGATATAAAAAATTTTACCCAGTTAAAGCTTGTGCTTTTTATAACCAAATTAAAATAACAGTGAAAGAAATTAAACATGAAATAGACATATAAACGTACAGTAAAATAAACGAATGGCGATGAGAAAGGGTATCGAGTTAATTTGATTATGAAGAACTGAGAATATACTAGAGAAACTTAAGGCATTCAATGGACATATTGTAAGCATGATGAGATGCACACATTCTTAAGTGGCATTATATCTGCAGGTTTGTAGACAATTTCAGTGCTGGAACTCGGGGAGCAGCATCTACTGAGTATTTTTTATCACATGGCTATGCTGTTATCTTCCTTCATCGTGACAAGTCAGTTACACCATTCCTTCGCCATCTTGATCCCCGGTTTCTCTTAGATGCTCTCCAAGAAGTGCCTGGTGGGCTCTTACAGTTGTCATCAATACACTCTGCACAGGTTAGAGCTCTGTATAGATTTTTGTCTTAAAATACTCTAATGCAGATGATCCACACCTCTTCAATTACTGTTGTTGCTACAACACACCAACACACACACACACACACACACCACACACACACACCACACACCACACACCCACACCACACCACACCCCACACACACACCCCCCCACACCCCCCACACCCACCCCACCCCCCCCCCCCCCCCCCCCACCCCCCCACCCCACCCACCCCCCCCACCCCCCCACCCCCCCCCCCCCACCCACCCCCACCCCCACCCACACCCCACACCCACCCCCACACCCCACCCACCCACCCCCACACCCCCACACACACCCCCCACACACACCCACCCCACCACCCCCACCCCACCCACACCCACACCACCCACACACACACACCCCCCCACACCCCCACACCACACACACACCACCCACACACACACACCAACCCCCACACACACCACACACCCACCACACACCACAAACCACCCACCCCCCCACACCCCCACACCACACCACCACACCCACCACACCACACCCCACCCCCCCCACCCACCCCCCACACCCACACACACACCACACACCACACCCACACCACACCACCACACACCCACACACCCACCACACACACACCCACACACCACACACACCACACCCCACACCCACCACACCACACCCACACCCACCCACACCCACACACACACCACCACACCACCACACACACCCACACACACACACCACACACCCAACACACACACCACACCCACACACACACCACACCACACACCACACCACCACACAAACCACACACACCACCACACACACACCACACACACACACCACACACACACACACACACACACCACCACACACCACACCACACCACCACACACACACCCACACACACACACACCACACACACACACAACACCAAAACACACACACACACACCACACACACACACCCACACACACACACCACACACACACACACACACACACACACACACCCCACACACACCACACACACACACACACACACACACCACACCACACACACCCCACACACACACAACCCACCCCACACACACACACACACCACACACACACACACACACACACCCCACACACCACACACACACCACACACACACAACACCACACACACCACACACCACACACACACACCACACACACACCACACACACACCACACCACACCACACACACACACACACCCCACACACAAACACACACACACCCCACACACCACACCACACACACCACACACACACCACACACACCACACACACACACCACACACACCACACACCACACACACCACACACACACACACACACACACCACACACACACACCACACACACAACCAACACACACACACACACACCACACACACACCACACACACACCACACACACACACACACACCACACACACACACACACACACACACACACCACACACACCACACACACACCACCACACACACACACACACACCACACACACACACCACCACACACACACACACACACACCACACCCCCACACACACCACACACACACACACACCACCCCACACCACAACACACCACACACACACACACACACACACACACCACACACACACCACCCACCACACCACCAACACCACAACACACACACACACACACACCCAAACACACACACACCACACACACACCACACACACACACCACCACACACACACACACCACACCACACACCACACACACACACCACACCACCACACACACACACACACACCACACACACACCCACACCCACACAAACCCCACACACACACCCCACACCCCACACCACCACACACACCACACACACCACACACACACACACCACACAACCACACCCCACACACCACACACACACACACACACCACACCACACACACCACACACAAAACACCACACACACCACAACACCACCACACACACCACACACACACACACACACACACCACACACACACCACACACACACACACACCCCACACCACACACACCACACACACACACACCACACACACACCACACCACACACACACACCACACCACACACAACCACACACACCCCACACACACACACACCACCACACACACACCACACCCCCACACACACACACCACACACCACACACACACCACCCCACACACACACCACACACACACCACCACACACACCACACAACACCACACACCACAACCCACACCACCACACACACACACACACACCACACCACACACACACCACACACACACACACACACACACATCCACACACCACACCACACACCACACACACACACACACACACACACACCACCACACACACCCCCCCCCCCCCCCCCCCCCCCCCCCCCCCCCCCCCCCCCCCCCCCCCCCCCCCCCCCCCCCCCCCCCCCCCCCCCCCCCCCCCCCCCCCCCCCCCCCCCCCCCCCCCCCCCCCCCCCCCCCCCCCCCCCCCCCCCCCCCCCCCCCCCCCCCCCCCCCCCCCCCCCCCCCCCCCCCCCCCCCCCCCCCCCCCCCCCCCCCCCCCCCCCCCCCCCCCCCCCACACCACACACCACACACACACCACACACACACACACACATCACACCCACACACACCCACACACACACACACACACACCCCACACACACACCACACACACACACACCACACACACACCACACACACACACCCACACACACACACCACATTTTCATTGTTTTGGCAAAGTACATTGCTGTATACATTAAATTGCAAGATAGCTTTCTTGTGGTTGAGACTAAGTAGCATAGTTTAGGTATTTCTCTAATTATTAGCAGCTTTTTAAATTATAGCAAACAATTTATCAACTTTCAGTGACCTTTGAAGCAACTTGGGTCAAAACCACAAGTAGCTAAGCATATAATTAAAAGCACCATTGGTGTAAAAATTGTCAATTTTTTGACAAGCCATGTAGAATAAAATAAATAACACTGAAGCCTTTCAGTAATGTGCAGTTTTGCAGGATTTCTGATTTTTTCTGTCTTTTAAACATTTTTGGTTAATCTACCCTATTAAATACCTTGATGTAGGTAATAATTGGCTGGGCTATTTCTCAACACTTGACAATACCTGCTTAATTAGACAAGGAAAATACCACTAATTAATCTGTTATTTTTTTATAGTCTAGCTTAGCTTATTGGGTTTCTGTGGCTTATAGATTTGTTGCAACTCTCCAGTTCTTGGATCTATGCATTTGATGTGCTAAATCACATGACCCATTTCTCTCTATATCTCCCCAAATTTTATTTTTCTCTGCGGTCTTATTTTACTTTATTAGCACATATTTCCAGATTCATTTCAATATTTGTTGACATCCAATATGGATGGTGAACTCTGGAAACTTTCCTGTTATACATCATTACAGTGGACCTTCAGTGTAAGAAACTGGAAATGCAGGACAAAATCCACTGAGTCATTTGATTCAGAAACAATGAACAAAGTATGTTGGTTACAGCATTGTCCATTGTTGTTACAGTCATGATGAAACAGTCTCGTCTCTGCCCTCCACAATCACCATAACCCATCACCACCTTCCTTCTATTAGTCTGTTAAATCAAAGGTTTACTATATGTGTTGTTTGCATCATACAGCTGTGTTTTAGCTTTAGATAAGGCAGACATGCACTGAACTGAAATTTAGATTCATCATTAGCTGCCATATTTCATTAATTGATTCTGTTTAAATCTAAAAATGCTTACAACTCCAAGAGGGTGATGATACTTGAAAGATAATGTGGGTCCACCTTGCCTCCACAAGTCCAGCAGTTTTCTGGAAATGCTGCCAGACTATATTTTTAGATAGACATGTACAGTACTTCTCCATGGGAAAGTGGAACAGAATTCTTCCTTTATTATCCATGCGTGTCATAAGAGGCGACTAAAATTCCGGGAGCAAGGGGGCTAGTAACCCCTTTTTCCGTATGTTACTAAATTTAAAACGAGAAGCTTTTGTGTTTCGTTTTAGGTCACCCTGCCTCAGTGGGATATGGCCGGTTTGATGAAAAAAAAAATCCACAGTACTGTCTCTTGTGAGACAGTTGCTTTGTTTATATTTTATGTATATTTATTAAGTACAGTGGACCCTCGACTGACACTATTAATCCGTTCCTGAGAGCTCATCGTTAGTCAAAATTATCGTTAGTCAAGTTAATTTTCCCCATAAGAAATAATGGAAATCAAATTAATCCGTGCAAGACACCCAAAAGTATTGAAAAAAAAAATTTTAACACATGAAATATTAATTTTAATACACACAAACTGAAGAAGACATGCACAGTTACATGACACTTACCTTTATTGAAGATCTAGTGATGATTGATGGGATGGGAGGAGGGGAGAGTGTTGATGGTGTTAGTGTTTAGAAGGGGAATCCCCTTCCATTAGGACTTGAGGTGGCAAGTCCTTTTTCGGGGTTACTTCCCTTCTTCTTTTAATGCCACTAGGACCAGCTTGAGAGTCACTGGACCTCTGTCGCACAACATACCTGTCCATAGAGGCCTGTACCTCCCGTTTCTTTATGACATTCCTAAAGTGTTTCACAACATTGTCAGTGTCACAATTAAACACTTGTTCAGGTTTCAATTCTTCATTGTCTATGTACTCCTTGAATTCCTGCACATATTTTTCAGCTGCTTTTTGGTCCAAACTGGCAGCCTCACCATGCCTTATCACTATGTATGCCACTACGATTCTTAAATCTCTCAAACCAACCTTTGCTGGCCTTAAATTCACTCGCATCATCACTAGTTGCTGGCATTTTTCTAATTAAATCCTCATGCAACTTCCTAGCCTTTTCAAATATGATCGCTTGAGAGATGCTATCTCCTGCTATCTGTTTTTCGTTTATCCACACCAGTAACAGTCTCTCAACATCTTCTATCACTTGCGATCTCAGTTTCGAAAACATAGTTGCACCTTTGGCAAGAACAGCTTCCTTGATTGCCGTTTTCTTGGCCACAATAGTAGCGATGGTTGATTGGGGTTTTGTGTACAGCCTGGCCAGCTTGGAGACACGCACTCCACTTTCATACTTAGCAATGATCGCTTTCTTCATATCCATAGTAATTCTCACCCTTTTTGCTGTAGGGTTGGCACTAGAAGCTTTCTTGGGGCCAATGGTGACTTATTTTGCAGGTGCAATCACTAAAAAGGCTGTGATAATATGAAATGTTCCGATTGTATGCTTGGAAGCGACCGCGGTGGCTGGCTGGCTTGTAAACACTGGCCAGAAGTGGACGCGTCTCAGACTGAACAAATAGTGTTGGTCGAGTTTTTTAGCGCTAATCGAGGCAAAATTTTTGCGTTAAAATGTATCGCTGGTCGGATTTATCGTTAATCGATGCCATCGTTGGTCGAGGGTCCACTGTAATAGATTTGTTATACTTAGTAGATCTTAAGCATTTTAATCATTATGAAACAAATTCACACTTGGCATTCTTGTCCATTTATCTGGTTCATGGTTCTTATAGCTGCCCCATTGTTTCAGTCGAACCCTGGCCTAGCAACTTTTCATGTCCATTTGCTTTTATGAAATGAGGACACACACTTTCGTTTGAAAGATCTGTGCCAAGGTTTCTTACTCTCAGTAGTAGTCCAGTTATACAATTGGACTATATACAGGTATATATATTGTACTTTTATAAAATTATGAATAGTTTGACGTGGTTCTTTAATTTTTTATTTAGATATATAGTAAAGGCTCCATGGGGAAGTGGAGCAGAATTCTTCCTCCGTGAGCCATGCATGTCGTAAAAGGCGACTAAAATGCTGGGAGCATACATTACTAAATTAATAAAGAAAAACTTTTGTTTTTCTTTTTAGGTCACCCTGCTTCAGTGGGATATAGCCGGTGCATTGAAAGAAGAATAATATAGTAAAGGACATTTTTTGGGCAAAGATCCATTAGTATTTTCTTTTAGAATGTGTGAAATGATGTGCATTTATATTTTTTTACCAATTCCTTTATTCAGGTCAAGGACAGAGTTTGTGATTTTTTCTATGTTTAATTTCTGTAGAGAAATTGCATTTGATTAATGTTTTGCATATGTGCTCTTCAGTTTCTTTTTAATTTTAAAAATTACTAACTACAATTTATTCACAGTTCAGCAGAATTGACAGGGTACATTTATTCTGTTTGGTGATGCAAAATGAATAATATCAACCACTTGTGTGCATATGCACATTGACATATACATACGTATATACCATAGTGGCCCAACCTGACAATGCAGGGCACTAAGTTTATTTTATGAGTGCCACTTGCTATGAAATTATTGAGGATCCATTGACTTGGAAGAAAATATAAAAACACTATGGGTTTTCTCTATGGGTTCTTCTTGACTGCTTTTACAATTCGTAATGACACGATTGCAAACAAACCATACCCGGCCAGGATTGAACCCGCGGTCAGAGAGTCTCAAAACTCCAGACCGTCGCGTTAGCCACTAGACCAGCTAGCCACAATAAGATTCGTCCAACTAGGTATATTTCTACACCATAGGAAGGTTAGCACAGGCACCACTGTGACCACAAATGCAAGTTTTTACAGACGAATCTCCAGCTAGCGTGGCCGTGATGAACTCTAGCTCAAGTCCCTTCACTGCCGTCAACATGACTCATGGTCTATCATGGTCTAATGGCTAACACGACAGTCTGGAGTTTTGAGACTCTCTGACCGCGGGTTCAATCCCGGCCGGGTATGATTTGTTTGCAATCGTGTCATTACGATTTCGTGAGTCATATTGACGGCAGTGAGGGGACTTGAGCTAGAGTTCGTCACGGCCACGCTAACTGGAGATTCGTCTGTAAAAACTTGCATTTGTGGTCACAGTGGTGCCTGTGCTAACCTTCCTATGGTGTAGAAATATACCTAGTTGGACGAATCTTATTGTGGCTAGCTGGTCTAGTGGCTAACGCGACGGTCTGGAGTTTTGAGACTCTCTGACCGCAGGTTCAATCCCAGCCGGGTATGGTTTGCTTTTACAATTATTTCCTTATTCCTTTACAGATTACAATGAAATGTTTATGAACTCTTAAAAGTTAGCAGTCTAGTCGGGCATTCTCTCTGAACTGCTACATTGGTGCAGTGACATGAAATTGGTAGCTCATGCTTATGTAGCTGCTTCAGTGAACCTGAAACTCAACTTTCAGAAAACTTTGGGCACTTTTTGCCAAAGTACTAAGAATCTTTAATCATAGTGTGATAATGTATTGCTGATAGCTTAATCATTTTACCGGTTAAGTTTGTTTCTTTATGTTAGAACCCTTTAAGAAAGAGGCCTCATAGATATAAACCATGGCTGTCATTCTTTCAGAGATATACCATACTATGATCCCAGCTGGCTGAGCTTTTACAAATCAACAAATTTTTGGGTCTGATATCACCACCATACAGTCATTGTGAAGTCTAGGTTGACATTTTATGATGCCTCACAATGGGTTTACTTCATAGAGCATTGATATACAGAAAGAAAATATGTCTAAGACTTGAATAAGTGTACACTCTCTAGGTTCACCCAATATGGCAAGACTATCAGCGTGTCAAGTCAGAGAGCCGAATTCTCTGGTTGACCTTCACAACACTCTCTGACTACCTGTGGCTACTGCGTGCAACCACTCAATGTTTACAACAGCGAGCCCCTAAGGCTCTTCTGTATCTAGCTGCAGCAGTCTCAGATTTCTACATTCCACAAGGTAAAGCTAGAATTTTTCAGTTTGTAAATATTAAGTAATGGTAATTATTGCATCACTCCATTAACTCAAATGCTGAATCTTATGAATCTGTTGTATGTCTAGCCAGTTTGTGATGCCTGGTCATAACTTATAATATGTACTCACTAAGATTTTTTTATCAAAGCACTTTTCTCATGTATATTTTCTGTCTTACCACAGTCTCATACCTGAAACATTTCACAAATAATCCACACTTAAGAAAACACTATTAAGTCCCAAGATATTACTTAATAATGATCCAGAATGGAGCACATTATCATTTTGTTTCCTCCATGGGATTTTTGTCAGATGTATCTATTTCAGTTTAGTTTACAGTAAACCCTCAATATAATGAACTTAAAATTTTGGGCAAAATCCACTGGTTAAATTGTACTTTCAACTCATTTTCAATGTTTGTTGCAGTATACTTCCAAATTATTTGTGCAGCTCTATATTAAGCAAATGATGGAGTACTTTAGTTCTTTTTACATTATTTTTAACAGTTTTTATTTATTGGACACTTGAATAATCCCCTTATTAGTCTGCTATATCGAGGGTTTACTGTACTTTTTAACTCTGGCCATTTCCCGCCAAGGTAGGGTGACAAAAGTTTCTTATATCCTGAGTGTGTTAGATAGGAGTGAATGGAGACGAATGGTTTTTGGGACCTGGCGAGCTGTTGGAGTGTGAGCAGGGTAATATTTAGTGAAGGGATTCAGGGAAACCGGTTATTTTTATATAGCCGGACTTGAGTACTGGAAATGGAAAGTACAATGCCTGCACTTTAAAGGAGCGGTTTGGGATATTGGTAGTTTGGAGGGACGTTATATATCTTTATATATGCTTCTAAACTGTTGTATCTGGGCACCTCTGCAAAGACAGTGATTATGTATAAATGAGGTGAAAGTGTTGAATGATGATGAAAGCATTTTCTTTTTCGGGATTTTCTTTCTTTTTGCGTCACCCTGCCTCGGTGGGAGACAGCTGACTTGTTGAAAAAAAAAAACTTATAACCATCATTTAGATATCTGTTTTGTCCATTGCATATTCAGAATTTTTTATATGCTAAATTTGAAGTAAAACTGAAAGAGGAATTCATCATTTTATTATACTTTTAAAGGAATAATGAAATATTTCTTCAGGATACAGTACATGATGTTTTAAACACTATGATGCTTCTTGTGGTATTTTTGTGTACCTGTTAGTTATAAATTTAAAATGACCTTGAATTAACATACCCATGAGAAAAATAGGCATCATTTTACATTAATAATGTTTTGTACCCTTTCCTTCTTGTAAACAGATAAAATGGCTGAACACAAAATTCAGTCTGCGTCGGGTCCACTTACAGTTACTCTCCATCTAGTCCCTAAGATGTTAAGTCCACTTGTTTCAGTGTGGGGGCCAGAACTCTTTGTTGTGTCTTTCAAATTAGAAACTGATGAAAAAAAGCTCATTGAAAAGGCAACAGAATCACTTAGAAAATACAAACATGATCTGGTAATTGGCAACTTGCTGCAAACTCGTCGGGAAGAAGTGACATTTGTGACGGAAAAAGAGAGTAGTCTCCTAAGGTTGATGGAGCACCAGAAAGCTGAAAAAACTGAAATAGAGAAATTAATTGTAGAGGAAGTGGTTAGCAGGCATAAAAACTTCATTAAGTACTAAGCCCTGGAAAATATGTCAAGTCAAGATGAGTATTATTTAAAGTATGTACTGTACACTATTTCTTAAAAATAACAAAAATATGCATATCAGGATTGTAGCATTAAAAATTTCAATTTACAGAATTTAAGTTTATAGATATTCTCTCTGACTAATTAAAAAAATATGTAAGTACTGTATAAGGGAAAAAGAGTTTAGAAACTTGAAGCCAGTATAGATTATTTAATTAAAAGGTGAATGTTTTAGTTCCATAAGGCATAAGATGTTTCTTTTAATAATGCAAATAAAATTAAGCTTTAGAGAGGTTCATATATAGCAGATACAAGTAGAAAATTCTATCAAATTTTGAGTGAAATTTGTGAAAATTAATATCTCAGAATACTTATGAATGCTACTACTGCTTACACTTCAGTAATATTGAACATAGTATTTGCTGATTCTGTTTGCTGGAAACTTGTCATAATGTAATTAATGTGTAGTTTGCCACCTGGAATTGAGAAATGTAGATAAAGCCTGAATTTTATTACTGTGTAATGCATTATTGTAATAGATGCATCATATAATTGAAAGCTTTTAATTAGATTGTTTTGTAACACACAAATTTCATTTTGTAATGAATGAAACATGGTTTTGAACTGATCATAAAGGTTGGAAATATTAGAGTTTGGGTTTCATACTAGTAGGTAGTAACAGATTGACTTCACTTGTGAAAGCAGTGCTATTAAAGAAATGTTCTTTTGCCATTGACAGGGGTTAACTCCAGCCACATGCATGCTTAAGCTCTCTTCCCCCCCCCCCCCACACATCCTTTTTTTTTTTTTTTAAGATTCAAATTCTATTTCTACTCTTCAGGAATTGCTGACATTATCTATATATATCTTTCATTGTGTCCTCTTGCTTGTACCATTTCGCATCTCACCTTCGTTCCTAACATCTGCTTTCTTTTCCCTGTGCTTATTGGATGAGCAGCCCTTGTGTTTTTTTCAGTTATATTGTTTAGTATGGGCATGAAGACACAGTATGCAGAAGCTTTTAGTGTACTCGAATAATGTTTCACTTGAGGTCAGGGTTATCAAGTCATACATTTTACACGTGCATACTCTTGGAAAATGTGATGAGAATAATGTAAGGTGTCCTGCAGAGAAAGTAAAAGGATCTGATGTGAGTGGTGGACACTGCAGTCGGCCTACTGGTCCATCATTAGGTTTGAACTATTGTTTGATTATGTCCCAGTTTTTCCATTGTAAATTGTGCCATGGGAAAAGCAAAGCCCATAATCATGCAGCAGTTCAAACCAAATAATGGACCAGTAGACCAACTGCAGTGTTCTGCCACCCATATCATCAGGACCTGGCATATGATCCATCCTTTATTTTTCTTTCTCTGCATGTCATGTTATATTATTTTTTGTCTCACTTTCTAGGTGTATATACATGTATAAAAATTATCCTCTGTATGACTTAATAAAGCTCTACTCTAAGTGAAACATTGCTCCAATAAAAGCTTGTTCTGTATATAGTCTTTATATCTTGTAGCTGTTAGCATTACCCTCATGCATATATATTTTGTAGTGCAAGTAGTTACTACTTATGCTCATACACATATGTTTTGTAGTGCAAGTAGTTAGTAATTTACAAATATACTGGATAATTTATAACTATCCAACATGCAGATGTCCCAACAAATGTTTCTAGTTGTATATCTCCCTTGTTTTGCATAGCTTTACACATGCGTAAGTTACTTGACACCAGTTATACTGAACAGTATGGGTTTCTCACTTTGTTTAGTGAAACTTGTTAAAAATAAACTTTGCACAAGTGAAATTATTCATTTGTTGACTGCACAGTGAGGAAGAAGTATACTTGTAGACTTTTGTTACCCTCAAGTGTGGTAATGGTTAATTACAAAAGCATTGGGGAAGGATTTGCCACAAACCATCCAAGTTTTAATACAGTGCATCAACAATATATAAATTGATAGATATTAAATTGCATTTTCTGTTTAGGACACCTTATGTTAGTATATTTGTTTTGGTTAACTCATGCCTTTTGATGTTGCATTAATATGTACAGGTACTAGACAAATCACTAAATAACTGACAATCAATACCGAGTTGTGAACCATACAGGAAAATCCATAATCAACTTCCTGGGAGAGTAAGGATCCCAGTATTGCACTTAGCTGGGACAGTTTAGGTTTCTATAAATCTCATTAGTGAATACTGAATACTCTCAAAAACATGACAGATGTATGCCTGCTGTAGGAAGCTGTTTATTCTTCACCTTTTGTCTTGTGAAGTGGATGTTAGGAACACGCTTATTTCATTGCATCTTTAAGTCATCTTTACACTGATATATATCTTGTGATATTTAAATTGTCAAATATATGACTACTGTATATCTTTTGTCCTGATGATCTCTTTCTCTGCTGTGCACTAAAACAGTGGGAAGTTAGTGCCCACTGTAGCATAGACAGGCTAGTGTTCCCTGGAAATTTGTCTCTGTGGTCCAGTTTTCATCTCAGTATTAGTTATATTAATTATCACTTAAGGTTTGGAATAGTTTGTTCTTATTTTTATTTTGTCACTTATGTTACTGTTTAGATATTTCAGTACATGTAATTTTAAGTGCTGGTGTCTCAATAAATATATAAGCTTGTAGGAAGCATCCTGTTATTAATAGCTACTGTAAACTACCTTTTGACAGTTATTATGTCAAAGTGTAGGTCATACATGTAATTGTGCTCTAGATAAACTAGAGGAGCATACTATATTATATACTTGTATTTTATCCTTCCCTGCCACCTCACAATTGTGATAAATTCAAGGACTCCTGCCTTAGATATTCAAGAATTAAAGCAATATTGTATTTTTTGTCAGTACAGTATAATTTTAGCACAAAAATGTTAAGGGACTATGAAAGAGTCAGTCACTATTTGTTATATTTATGTCGGTACATTACAGTGTTTGGTAGGATGTTTTTTACCAATATCTGTAAGACATTGCAGATGGGATATTGTCTCATTTTCAGTTATTTAAGATGGAGGGAATAGCTAGCAAACTCTTTATAATGGATCTTGTGATAGTGTGTATTAGGCACAATATTGCTTTACTAGAACTGGAATTTTTATATTTTTTCATTTGTGTGTACTTCGTAGTTACCAGCTCAGTTTATAAGATTATTTATATAATTGTAACATTTTGCTAAGTTATTTAGTACCTGTACGTTTACTAGGTGCTTATTTGATTTTATATGTTAACCAGATATAAAGTATGGAGGAGTTTCTATAGCGAATGTCATTAGGATACTTTAATGATTACAGATAGTATTTGATTTCTAGATTAATAATATGAACCTGTGCCATGTGTAAGGCGGCATGAGCAGTATCTCCTCCACATTAGTTTATTTTTTATATACTTTAGCTTATAAAATCTTAACATAATTTGTCTTTTTTTAGTCATATCCAGGAGCTTGGGTGTAATCTTCTTGTAAGAATATACTGATGAATTCTAAAGTTTTCTTGCCATTTACGTATCAAATAGAGGATTGGAAATATTCTCTCCTTTTTTTTTTTAATCATCATGATAAGGTACAATATTTGCATTCTGCTTTGGGACCTGTACATCTATTAAATATCTAGGGTATAAAGATTCTTTAAAATTATCATGCTCACAGTGTTGCTAAAATTAGCATATAAACTGCAGCACTGGTTACAGCTGTGGTTGCCATCTGCCGCTTGGATAAATCAAATACCTGAATGATACCGGAACAAAAATAGAAAAGAATGATATAAAAATCTTAACATGATCTTAGGAAGATTACCTCTTCAAGAGGGCTCCCTGGCATGGTGAAGAGGCTCTTGGTCTGAGGAATTAGACCTGTTGGTCTCCTTCCTCAGACTGAACCTAATTACCCCCAATCCCCCCTTCCCTATCCCATCCTCCCTTTTTCCTTTCCCCCTCCTGCCCCCCGTCAATCCCTTATTCCCTTCCTCTTTTTCGCCTTTGGGATACTTCCCACAGGCCTACTGGTTCCTAGGTAGGGGGAAGGGTACCAGGGTCAATCCCATTCCGTTGAGGTTCTTGGCGGTGGTGTAGTTTGCCATGGAATCTGGATCACCTGGGGATATCCCATTCCCTCCGGTCTTCTGGGGGGTGTCTTTTGGGCAACGGGTGTATCTCTGGAGGCCGCCTTTCGGATTCCGGGGGTGGTGGCCAAAGGAGGTATGCTTTGTGGCGGATATCCGGCCGCCCTCTCTTTTGTCCACCGAGGTAGCTCGGCAGATGTGAGGTTGCTATCCTGGATTGCTGGTTTACTGGCATGAAGTGTAGGGTATGGCACGGGTTCCATGCCGCATCTGCACTACTTGCAGTGTTGAAGTCCTCTTGGGCGCGGAGGGTGATTTCCGGCCCTTTCGTTCCTCCTAGGAACTATTCCTCCCCGTTCTCCCTTTTTCTTTTTTTTGCTGGTTTCTTTTTCTGTCTCATAAACACGCTAGATAACAGGGATATCTTGCTACTCCTACTTACACTTTGGTCACACTTCACAGACACGCACATGCATATATATATACATACATCTAGGTTTTTCCCCTTTTTCTAAATAGCTCTTGTTCTTCTTTATTTCTTCTATTGTCCATGGGGAAGTGGAAAAGAATCTTTCCTCCATAAGCCATGCGTGTCGTATGAGGCGACTAAAATGCCGGGAGCAATGGGCTAGTAACCCCTTCTCCTGTAGACATTTACTAAAAAAAGAGAAGAAAAACTTTATAAAACTGGGATGCTTGAATGTACGTGGATGTTGTGCGGATGACAAGAAACAGATGATTGCTGATGTTATGAATGAAAAGAAGTTGGATGTCCTGGCCCTAAGTGAAACAAAGCTGAAGGGGTAGGGGAGTTTCGGTGGGGGGAAATAAATGGGATTAAATCTGGAGTATCTGAGAGAGTTAGAGCAAAGGAAGGGGTAGCAGTAATGTTGAAGGATCAGTTTTGGAAGGAGAAAAGAGAATATGAATGTGTATTATTATTATTATTATTATAATCAAGGGGAAGCACTAAACCCGTAGGATTATACAGCACCTGGGGGGGGGAATGTGGAAGGCATTCAGGCTTAATTTGGGGAACTGGAGCACAGATCAAATTCCCTAAATCAAGAGCCCCTCACCAACATCAAGGAACCTTCCCTGAGGGGTATGAATGTGTAAATTCAAGAATTATGTGGATTAAAGTAAAGGTTGGATGTGAAAAGTGGGTCATAATAAGCGTGTATGCACCTGGAGAAGAGAGGAATGTATAGGAGAGAGAGAGATTTTGGGAGATAAGTGAATGTAGAGGAGCCTTTGAACCAAGTCCCCTCAAGGAAGGTTCCTTGATGTTGGTGAGGGGCTCTTGATTTAGGGAATTGGATCTGTGCTCCAGTTCCCCGAATTAAGCCTGAATGCCTTCCACATTCCCCCCCCCCAGGCGCTGTATAATCCTCCGGGTTTAGCGCTTCCCCCTTGATTATAATAATAATAATTTGAACGAAGTGAGAGAGTAATTGTGGTAGGGGATCTGAATGCTAAAGTAGGAGAAACTTTTAGAGAGGGTGTGGTAGGTAAGTTTGGGGTGCCAGGTGTAAATGATAATGGGAGCCCTTTGATTGAACTTTGTATAGAAAGGGGTTTAGTTATAGGTAATACATATTTTAAGAAAAAGAGGATAAATAAGTATACAAGATATGATGTAGGGCGAAATGACAGTAGTTTGTTGGATTATGTATTGGAAGATAAAAGACTGTTGAGTAGACTTCAGGATGTACATGTTTATAGAGGGGCCACAGATATATCAGATCACTTTCTAGTTGTAGCTACACTTGAGAGTAAAAGGTAGATGGGGTACAAGGAGAATAGAAGCATCAGGGAAGAGAGAGGTGAAGGTTTATAAACTAAAAGAGGAGGCAGTTAGGGTAAGATATAAACAGCTATTGGAGGATAGATGGCTAATGAGAGCATAGGCAATGGGGTCGAAGAGGTATGGGGTAGGTTTTAAAAATGTAGTGTTAGAGTGTTCAGCAGAAGTTTGTGGTTACAGGAAAGTGGGTGCGGGAGGGAAGAGGAGCGATTGGTGGAATGATGATGTAAAGAGAGCAGTAAGGGAGAAAAAGTTAGCATATGAGAAGCTTTTACAAAGTAGAAGTGATGCAAGGAGGGAAGAGTATATGGAGAAAAAGAGAGAGGTTAAGAGAGTGGTGAAGCAATGTAAAAAAAGAGCAAATGAGAGAGTGGGCGAGATGTTATCAACAAATTTTGTTGAAAATAAGAAAAAGTTTTGGAGTGAGATTAACAAGTTAAGGAAGCCTAGAGAACAAATGGATTTGTCAGTTAAAAATAGAAGAGGAGAGTTATTAAATGGAGAGTTAGAGGTATTGGGAAGATGGAGGGAATATTTTGAGAAATTGTTAAATGTTTATGAAGATAGGGAAGCTGTGATTTCGTGTATAGGGCAAGGAGGAATAACATCTTGTAGGAGTGAGGAAGAGCCAGTTATGAGTGTGAGGGAAGTTCGTGAGGCAGTAGGTAAAATGAAAGGGGGTAAGGCAGTTGGGATTGATGGGATAAAGATAGAAATGTTAAAAGCAGGTGGGGATATAGTTTTGGAGTGGTTGGTGCAATTATTTAATAAATGTATGGAAGAGGGTAAGGTACCTAGGGATTGGCAGAGAGCATGCATAGTTCCTTTGTATAAAGGCAAAGGGAACAAAAGAGAGTGCAAAAATTATAGGGGGATAAGTCTGTTGAGTATACCTGGTAAAGTGTATGATAGAGTTATTATTGAAAGAATTAAGAGTAAGACGGAGAATAGGATAGCAGATGAACAAGGAGGCTTTAGGAAAGGTAGGGGGTGTGTGGACCAGGTGTTTACAGTGAAACATAAGTGAACAGTATTTAGATAAGGTTAAAGAGGTCTTTGTGGCATTTATGGATTTGGAAAAGGCATATGACAGGGTGGATAGGGGGCAATGTGGCAGATGTGCAGGTGATGGTGTAGGAGGTAGGTTACTGAAAGCAGTGAAGAGTTTTTAGAGGATAGTGAGGCTCAAGTTAGAGTATGTAGGAAAGAGGGAAATTATTTCCCAGTAAAAGTAGGCCTTAGACAAGGATGTGTGATGTCACCATGGTTGTTTAATATATTTATAGATGGGGTCGTAAGAGAAGTAAATGCGAGGGTCTTGGCAAAAGGCGTGGAGTTAAAAGATAAAGAATCACACACAAAGTGGGAGTTGTCACAGCTGCTCTTTGCTGATGACACTGTGCTCTTGGGAGATTCTGAAGAGAAGTTTCAGAGATTGGTGGATGAATTTGGTAGGGTGTGCAAAAGAAGAAAATTAAAAGTGAATACAGGAAAGAGTAAGGTTATGAGGATAACAAAAAGATTAGGTGATGAAAAATTGGATATCAGATTGGAGGGAGAGAGTATGGAGGAGGTGAATGTATTCAGATATTTGGGAGTGGACGTGTCAGTGGATGGGTCTATGAAAGATGAGGTGAATCATAGAATTGATGAGGGGAAAAGGGTGAGTGGTGCACTTAGGAGTCTGTGGAGACAAAGAACTTTGTCCTTGGAGGCAAAGAGGGGAATGTATGAAAGTATAGTTTTACCAACGCTCTTATATGGGTGTGAAGCATGGGTGATGAATGTTGCAGCGAGGAGAAGGCTGGAGGCAGTGGAGATGTCATGTCTGAGGGCAATGTGTGGTGTGAATATAATACAGAGAATTCGTAGTTTGGAAGTTAGGAGGAGGTGCGGGATTACTAAAACTGTTGTCCAGAGGGCTGAGGAAGGGTTGTTGAGGTGGTTCGGACATGTAGAGAGAATGGAGCGAAACAGAGTGACTTCAAGAGTGTATCAGTCTGTAGTGGAAGGAAGGCGAGGTAGGGGTCGGCCTAGGGAGGGGGTAAAGGAGGTTTTGTGTGCAAGGGGCTTGGACTTCCAGCAGGCATGCGTGAGCGTGTTTGATAGGAGTGAATGAAGACAAATGGTTTTTAATACTTGACGTGCTGTTGGAGTGTGAGCAAAGTAACATTTATGAAGGGGTTCAGGGAAACCGGCAGGCCGGACTTGAGTCCTGGAGATGGGAAGTACAGTGCCTGCACTCTGAAGGAGGGGTGTTAATAATTTCTTTTCTTCTTTCTTTTTTTTTCTTAAAAACAAAAAGAAAGAAGTAACCTAACCATGGAAGCCCTAATCCACGAACCTGCTATCCCCGGGCCCCTTACTGATACCGCACCGGTCTGACCCTGCCTCGTTTTTTGACCACTCTTTGGATACTCCTGATGCCCCTGTACCTCTTGCTGGTGCTGTTTCATCACCAGCTTCAGGTACCGACGTCTCGACTGACTCCTCCGATTTGTCTGACCTCTGCCCTCCTTTGACTATGCTTCTGGCCTCTCCCTCTACGGTGCGGCAATTTTCGAATCGCCAGCCCGTCCCACGTCGGACCAACTCTGGTCCCACTTCTAAACGCCAACAA